TTGCAAAGTTTGAACCAGGGGGGGGGCTGGGAGTTGGCACAAAGGGGTAATCGAGCATGCGGCTAAAACAGCGGGAACAGTGGATTAGCATGTAGACGTGGGCAAGGGAAAGGTTGTACAGGGATAGGGATGAGAGCTTTATTATAGTGTTTTGACAGAGCCGGGCGGAGCCGGGTAAGCCAGCTAGTATCCAGTAAAACTCAACAAATTATTGAAAGAAATTGCTAAATATGAATGTGTTCCAGCTTCTTGATATATTTCTGATTTTGGATGACTCATGTTGAAATGACTCATCCAAAATCAGAAAATGTGGCGCTCATGTTGGCCACACTGCCTCAATTCGTTCTTCTTTCATTTTACTGCTTTTCTAGTTACGCTTCACTTGATTAGTCTGCGATGCTCGCTATTTGCATTGCCTATTTTGTTATTAACCATAGTGCTTTCACTAATAATCAGATCAACCAGCCTCATTCATCAGAATGTTTACATATTCCTTCACTGTATCACCCCCCCCCCCAACCTTGATCGGCTATCAGTCGCTCAATGTTGGTAGCTATTTATGCTTGTCCTTTATGGCTGAGGAGGTGATCTTTGATGATTGTTGCCCTACCACTTCCAGTTCGAATCTTGCTCTCTTTTAAGACAACTATTTCTCCGAGGTCAGGTTAGCTAGCTTTTACCGGGGACTCGCTGACACCCAAAATCAGAGTTTTCATAAACTTTAGATAAAGCAAGATTCTAGAGACTATGCTGGACAAAGGGCTTTTTCCTCCGGTTTTGCTGATGCTGGCAACTGAATCTCTACATCGTCATGATAGGGCTTCGGTATCTGTTTTGTCTTGCGTTCCGTTTATACAACTCCGCTTCCTTCTGTGACTGAGGAACGGCTGTCTTTTGTCTTACCTTTTGTGTTGCCAAATTTTCTGTTCGATTTCGTTCTGAGTTGAAGCCAGCTTCACAGAATGGTGCTTGGAGTTTGGCGAAAGATATCAATGCAAGAAAGTTATTAACGACCAAACAGTGTGTACATGATTTGGAGACAGTCAGTGTATAAGTAGCATTTACTTTGAAGGCAGTGTCTTGGCAAATTATCGTTTTCCAGTTTTTCACCTTGGAGCCTTCTCGCCATGAGGAACCCATATCTGGGCTTTCGCATAAAAATGGCGAAAATAGGCTTTTTTCGATGCTTTTCAGGTCCGCATTCGGTGAAGATACGCCGGAAGTCTTTCGCACTCCGCCCTCGTTCAGGGCCTCGCCCATCCTCCATTGAACGCAAATCTGAAAAGCCTCGGAAAAAGCCCATTTTCGCCACTTTCATGCCTTGAAAAGCCCAGATATAGATCAATTATGGCGAGAAGGCTCCGAAATGTTAAAAATCTGAAAAACGAGATTCTGCAGAGACACTGCCTTTAACTCTACTCATTTTCAGTGAGTCTGATATTAGCGCGTTATGAGAAAAACAATGCATCGCCACGCGTTACAGCAGCAGCTGACAATTGCTATCGTTTCTCTTCTACCACACCCGCGAATAAGCACTAATCATTGAGGCCCCCGAAAAAATTGAATTTTTTTTCTAAATTCTTTGATTTCTAGATGAATCTAGTTAATTTTCATATAAGATTGGTTTAAAAAAATAGATTGGTTTTTTTTCATGCAATAAAAATTTTCTTTTAGTTCCTTGGCTACGATTTGCTGTACGGAAATAGTTTGAAGCTGCTATTATCACTTTCAAGTACTCAGAGCTTTCTACTATTAGGATAAGACAATTATGCACCAATATGGCCGAACTTTCGAAAACTTTTTCACTTCATAAACTTCGTTTCCTGTGATGGATGTAGAGATGAACCTGGTGTTGATCACATCCGGTTAACGTTGACGATTAACGTTACATTAACGTTGCCTGAGAATAGCGCCTTTTGTAGTGTGTTATCAGAACAGTGAAGCATTGGAGCTTTATGAACAGACGACTTGCGCACTTTTGGTGCTGTGGTAGAATGCTACTATGATAAGGATGACAATCTTATATATAAAGCTGAATGTCTGTTTGTATGTCTGTCTGTCTGTATGTCTCTGTCTGTATGTACGTATGTTCCGAATATAAAATTTTATATCTGAATTGATCCGGACCCTTTGCACACATGCACTTCGGGGCCAGGCGAGTGTCATAGGCTACTTTTCTCATCGATCGATGTCGATTTTACCGATTTTTATCGATTTTTTGTAAAGTTTGAGCTACGGGACTGGGAGTTGGCGCGGGGGATAATCGAGCATGCTGATTACGAATACAAGATCAGGTTTTCAAAACGTCTATTACTTTTATCGATTTTACCGATTATTGCAAATTTTGAGCTACGGGGCTGGGAATTCGCACAGGGACAAGTGCGCATGATGATAACTAAAACAGCGGGAATAGGAAGTTGGAGTTGGTATGTAGAAGTGGGTACAAGGAAAGACTGTATAGAGATAGGGATGGGAGCTTTATCATAGTGTTTTGACAGTGCCGGGCATAGTCGAGAAGGGCCAGCCAGTGTACTATAATAAGCATCTGGACAACAAACATATTTACATCACAGCAGGTCATCTTTATGTCATGACCTTTACCTCTTTGGCAGCAGATGTCATACAACAAAGAAGGTGACAATGTTATCGGCACACTCCAGCCACTAACAGGAATTAGATGACAAGGAAACAGTTTTCAGTAATCCAATAACTAATGTGAAGCGGTGCCATTTGTCCAAATCTCGTAGCGGTTTTTGTTTCACCACAAATTGAAGATGCTTTAGCCAGTTGAGTGACCACCTTGAATTGGCGAAAAAGACGGGTGTGAACTAGAATGATGTAGAACATTACGTAGACAAGCATATACTGGTGACACGGTATGGCGTTCGCACCCATGCTTCTTGTCGTTGTTCATCTTGCATCGAAATTGGAACCTTCGAGAGTGTCGCCTTTTACTGACATCAGTGCTTGTGTTTGCCTGTGACATTCCGGTTGTAATGAGCTGTGCTAAGTCATCCTCCAGTCTGCAGTGGCTCTCAGATTACCATCATCGTTCTCAGCCTCAGATTTGCATCTAATTTTTGGCATCATTTTCGTTGTCACTTCCACTATTGACTTCTTTTTGCATCATTGACATATTCCTTCTTTGGAATACCATTGATATGACTACCTCCGACGGTGAACCTGTGCATTGTGTTCTTTCCAAATGTGAGGCAATAATCTCTCATAATTGCGATATCATCGTTTTGTTCAGCAAGTGGATTATAAGTGCTCCTTCTACCTCTGGCAAGCATTCTTCTACACTTTCTCCTCTTCAGCTCTATCTCACCTTCTCTCAAATGATCTTACAGAAGATGAACAAACCATACGAGGGTCACTAATGGTTTTAAAAACCTTTATCTCTTTTTTGAGTCTGTCGCATTCCTCCATCATCAACTTCTTCGCAGCTTCAGATGTAACTTCCTCTGCCTTTCCTTCAAGATTTAAAGTCCATTTGCAGCGATTTGGTACCATCTTCGACTTCCATTTTGCACCTCGCTAGTAGCTCCAGATGTTGAGTGCTTAGGTCTACGCTCTTGATTACTATCTGGAAAATATTTCTCTTACCGTGACGCGCGTACTTCTTTAGTTGTTCCGCGAGTTTCTTAGTACACGTTTTCAGTTCTTCCTTGTTGAAATCCTCATTGTGTTGTAGTCGTGCTGCTTTTGAGCAGGGCACGTATCGGTCTTACTCGGTCGATGCACCAAAATGTACGGCTGGTTCTTAGGCTTTATTGCAGCCTGAAGCGAGATAGCGGTTCGTGGAATGTGTTATACAGAACACTGAAGTATAGAGTAGAGCTTCATGAACAGACGCTTGTATACGTTTGGTGCTGTGCTGGCAAGGTTGTGTAACTCACATCTAATCAGCAAAGACGCTTATGTCACAGCAGGTCATGCTCATGCATGACCTGCTGTGACATAAGCTCATGACCTTTACAATATTTTGGCGAGTTGATGATAAAGTCATGAACAAGTGCCTACCGTGTCAGCACATCTGACGAGAGCTGTTTCTTCGAAAAAACTATTTACAGGGTGTTTCCAGTTGCATTCCGACATTTACAACTGTGTCAGGTCCTAGTTCGTGAAGTTGCTCATTCTTATCCCATCGGGTCTTCTCAAAGGCGGGGTCCACCCAAAAATTGATCCTCCGTTTTCACTGTTATCGGGCCTTTCCAAAGAGCTGATTTCGAATATGATGCTCAAATTACCAGGAATCCAAAATTGCCCCTTTCTGAAGCCTATTTTTGCAGACGTGGACGAGTGTCAGCGCTAATCACATCGTATGCAACGAAAACCTCGTCGTGTGCAACGGTGCCACATCACAAAGTATGCGCCTCGACGTTGCCTGTCATGTCAGAACAAGTCATGGGGCAATCCTTGAGTGAGCGGAGCGCAAAGAGAATTCAGGCCCGTATCTCCTCTTGTAGGCAGCATTAGAGGACCGGACCAACACAGTTTGTCTACTATCAAAGGCCTGCTAATAGGATAAGTAGTAATTTGGGGTGAATAGGTTTTGGGTGGATGCTGCCTTTAAAAAAGCCCATTTATCTGGAAATGTTCTTTCTATTCTCTGTAAACCCTGGCTTGTTCCAATTGTAGTATATGTTCGGGAATGGGTGACGAGTAGCGTAGTGATATGAGGCGCCGCTATGACCAAATCGGAGCCAAGTTCGATCCCGCCTTTAGGCCAACCAAGCCCTCTACCCCTGGGGCTACTAAATTGATATTAGAGTAATCTGGGAGGATAAAAGCACTGAATGGTAATCGGCTGGCCCCGTAAGCCACTGTAATATGCCCACACAAATTCATTAGCCTCTTCGACTATGAAGTAGAGTGCGTTCGCGTCTGTACAACACATGCTAGAACCACACACACCCTCCTTTTTACTAGAATTCTTTGTCTTTTGTGTTCGCCTAAATTGCAGAGCGTAGTTATTTATTTTTGGTTCGTCTACAGTCATGTGCACATATCGCATTCATTACAGACCGCTTCATAATCAGCAATCGTTCCAAATGGACTCAAATAATCTCTCCGACAATGAACTTCGTCAGGTGGATTTGAAGCAATTGTGAATGACAAATATGTGTCCATTTCCTGTATCTGGAAATCTTTGAGATTTAAAATCTATCAACATTGGCTGGTCATCGTTTGACCGTTTTTTCCACAATATTTTTTCAGATTCTTTCTACAAGGCCAAAGAGCATGACTTACACTTTCACATAAAAGTGAAAGCAGTCAAATCGGTTGGAAAAATCAGAAGTCATTTTTTTTTTGAAAATCGTGCGCAAAAACTTTCGGGACGACCTATACAATGTGCTGGCTTTTATGGGTCACCGGAGCAAATGATTTTTAGAGCCGAGAAGCAAAAAAGCCCTAACATGCTTTATACCATTCGAAAGCTGAGATCATGGAGAATCGACGTAGACCGTCGACTTTTTTCTAGGTCTTCTGTGCCGCGAAATATGAAGGATTTTATGTGCTTTAAAAATTAACTGATTTTGTGTCCTCAAATTCTGCTCTCCAAATGAATGCTACGAGAAAGTCGACGGTCTACGTTTGTTAATAAAGACTTGCTCTTTAACATAGATAGATAATCAGCAGTGAACAGGTCTTCATTTGGCAGAAATCTGCTGTTGAAAATGACCATGTTTTCAAATAAAACGCGGTGTATCTCTTGCTAGAGGGGGGCTAGAAAGAATTCGATGGTCTAGGTCGAATCCCCTTTTCCTGAGCTTTCGAATGGTATGTAGGTTGCTGGGCGAAAAAACTAACCAGTTTTCAAAAATGGGGTGGAGATAACCAGTTTTCAAAAATGGGGTGGAGATAAAATGGGGCGACTTTTTTCTAGGTCTTCTGTGCCGCGAGATATGAGAGATTTCATGTGCTTCAAAAATTAACTGATTTTGTGTCCTCAAATTCTGCTCTCCAAATGAATGCTACGAGGATAAATGAATAATCATTACTTATAATAACGGGCTAAGGATGTTTACGTGACTTTGTGTGTGTGTGTGTGTGTGTCTGAGAGTGTGTCTGTTACGAAATTCGTAGAGCGTGTTCCAGCCAACCTCCTGGGCTCAAATTTTGCACAGTGCATGCTACCCGCATAAAACTCCAACATGCAAAAGAACGAGCAGATTCGTTGAGTGGATCCCTCAGAAACTGCGTGTCAAAGGATCCATTTTGCGTTTGGGCCGCAAAATTGGGTCCGCAATTCCACTTTTTTCAGAGTCGTGGATGTTTGTGCCAAGTAAATGTGCAAGCCATGAACTTAGGCTCAAAAAAGCGATCAAAAGTCCATTACTTTACAAAAAGGCGCCAAAATGTATTGGTTGGCTAAATGGTCAATTTGCCAACGTTTTACCAGACCATTTGACGAAAATTTTGCACAAAGTTGTAGCTCACGGTGACTGCTGTTCTTATTGCAACTGTAAAGGCCATGAGAAAATCAAGAACCTATAAAAATTTGCATTTGTTTTCCTGCAAAAAGTCTTATCCACGCGAAATCACCGATTTCCCATACAAAAGCTTTCGGAATGAGTAGTTGTTTACATTTTGTTCGTGATAGTCGGCATTGCTCGGTGAGTTCTAGCGCCATCATTATACGAGAATGAGTAGGGCCTAGATAGCAGAGCCAGTGCGAGCCTCTGCGAAGCAGAGGTGACGCACTGGTAACTTATAACGGGCTAAGGTTGTTTACGTGTTTTTGTGCATGTGTATGCATGTCTGTGTGTCTGTCTGTAACGAAATTCATAGAGCGAGTTCCAGCCAACGTCCTGAGCCCAAATTTGCACATCGCATGCGACCAACATAAGAGCCTACCATGCAAAAGCACAAGTAATTTTGTTGGGCGGATCCCTCAGAAACTGCGCGTCAAACAGAGCCACTTGGATTCCGTATCACCACTTTTTGCAAAGTCGGGGATGTGTTTGGCATGCTAATGTGCAGGCCATGGATTTTAGTCCAAAAAAGTGGACAAGTTCACTACTTAACGATGACGACGCCAAAAAGAAATTGTTGCGTAAATGGTCAATTTGCCATGGTTTTACCTGAGCATCTGAGAAAAATTTTGCACAGAGATGTAGCTCACGTCCCCTACTGTCCTTATGGCAGTTACCAAGCCAGAAAGAGTCCTAAAACCTACTCAAATTTGTATTGTTCTTTTGCGAAAAGTTTCATCCACGCGAAATCACCGATCTTACATGAAATAGCTTTGGAATGGGTAGCTGTTTACATTTTAATCGCGATAATCGGCACTGCCCGGTGAGTTTCATTGCCACCATTAGTCAAGAATGAGTAAGGCATATGAAGTAAGACCAGTGCGAGCCTCTGCGAAGCAGAGGTGACGCACTGGTATAAATGACATAAATGCCGTTTCCTTTGTAATTTTAAGAGTGTACTTGTTGTTTGAGGTACTTAGCCTGCAAAACTTTTAATAACGATTTTTATCATATTCTCAGAGTACAATGCCAATCTCAGCCCAGGTGAAGGGGGTCATCGGGAGTTTGGCCTCAAAGTAAAGGGGGTAAGATCCATAACTCCCCCTTCGCAACTATGCTTCATAGTCCTTATTGGTCTTAGAATTTGGTTGCATTCCTCTTTTAACTGGTGTGCTAATCAGCAGAGTTTTGTTAACTTTCTCGCAAGAGCAAACGAATCTTGAATACATGAAACGAGTGTGAAAGTATGATAGGAGATAAACGGTTCAGACTAATAGGGTCACTCCCTTTCTATTATTATTAAGGCTTCCTTGACGTGAAATGTTATCATTAGCCGTAAAACTTATTTTGAACTATTCATCCACTAGGTTTTTGACCAAATGAGTCACATAAAAACATCCTGAGTGATCAGTACAATTTTGCGTGTCTTCTTTCCAGCGTTAAATTCACAAATACCGCTTTTTCAGTCTGTGACGCACTTAGCAAATGACCCAATGAAAATTTGATTTCAAGCTGGGAGAAGAGCTGCAGTAAGTATCTAGCAGCCTTTTTCAGCAACTAACTGCTTTGGGGCAGTCTGTTGGACCACTGACACCATTAACAAGAACTTTGTATAAGAAAAAGCTGAAGAATTTGTTGCGTATGCAAGGTGCACTTCCAAGCTTATTTGGATGTTTACTGATTTTTTACTGTTAGGTGATGCGCCTATAAACTCACCAACGCAACCTGCGGGAAGGAATCCGAGGAGTTCTGTTGAAGGAGGCACAGAGGACGTTCCGCACAATGCGCAGTTATTTGGTGTGAGACCTATTTATTTAGTATTAGCTGGCACTCCAGCTCCGCCCGGCCCTGTCAATACGTATACTACAAATCTTTAGGCCTAAAGGGCCGGGCATACTTCACGCGATTTTAGTCGCGACGCGACTTGGCAATATTCCAACTATCCATAACTCATTGTAAGCACATTTTAAATGTATAGAGGATAGGGCATTTCATCACTGAACGTAAGTTATACATACTGTGCATGTGCAGAATGCTAGTGTTGGATCTGAAGACTCTTGGCGCATTGCCAAATCGCGTCGCGACTGAAATCGCGTGAAGTATGCCCGCCCCTTAAGGCATACCTCCCGCGATTTCAGTCGCGGCGCGATTTCCAGCTCGGACATAAGTTCCGAGTTCGCCGCGCCGGCGCGCCTAATTGTATGGTCCCGCCGCATTTGTGTTAGATTGACGCCGCGACGAATCGCGGGCCATTTTTGGACGGGCATACTCTCGCCAACAATATCTTCACGATATCGTTGGAATTGAGCGATGTCGCGTCGCTGGTGCTGCACCAGCGACGGGACATATCGCGCGAATTTCTTCTTCTTTGTGGAAAGTTTTGTATTTTTTTGCAAATGTGAATTTCATTTAGGACTGTTCCATCTCACACAATCGCTTTCTCTCTACATGAGAGAAGGTTGGTCATAGAGCATTCCATACTATTAATCCTTGAAAACAACACATGCGAAGTGTCATATGTCACCTCCCCCTTTTTGTTAGCATTTATTCGCAATGCACTAATTCTACCGTTCTTTTTCAAAGAACAAGTAAATGATGGACCAAATCACGAAGTTTTCGCCATAATTCTTGAAGCAGATAGATGTGCAATCTTGGTTGCTTAAGCATGTATGCATTGATCGTTCGCAGATTGGCAGACAAAAGCTCGTGCAGCACTCGTTGTTTGAATATGCCTAATCAAAGTCTTTTATAGGACCGAAAGCATGGCATTTCTGTTACGCCTGCTGGTAACTGAAAGAGTGAACTCAAAACTTTATGAACTGTAGTCGATTTTATCGCAGATGTTAACTTGCGCCGCTATAAAACCATGGTAAATACGAAGATGAGTGTGAATCCATAACCTTGTTCATTTGCTGTAATGTTCTCTGAAAGCATATGGTGCCACATTCTGTTCAAATTTTCTTGAAAAAATGCGCTTCAGACTAGCGCAAATTTTCCAAAAGTGCGTAAAATGCGGTGTGGTGTGTGAGCGTTCACACAACCGCAAGACGGTATGGCCTGTGAGCGAGCGATAAGCGATTTCTACGCAATGATCCGTCGCCTAAGCAGCCGATTCGCTGCGATTAGAAATCGTGACGACGGTGTTACGACGAGGTATGCCTCAGGCCTTAGAATACGCACGTAAATTTTCAGCAAGCCTTTCTACAGGCTTTATCTCTCAAAAGGTATCGAAAATAACATTCCTCAATCAGGTGTTTTACGCCAAGACCTATAATTTTCTCGAAAATTAGAGCTTGTGGAGAGCTAAAAATTCACGTTTTTGTTTCTGCAGGTTTGTAACATACAACTCATGTAGGAGCAGCACAGTATCACTTTGATGAAAGCATGAAAATTGTTGTTTCCTTGATTTTTAAGCGAGGAAAAATTTCAACAACGCGGTGGCGGAGGAGAGGAAAGAAGGAGGGAGGGGGCTCCCCGAAAATAAGTCGCGAAATTTCTGAAATCTTACGTGGTTATAAAAATGTGCAAGCCTGGATGGAAATTCTGCGAACGGTATATATAAATGCCTGATGGAAGCGTATACATGAGCAAGCTAGTATACTTTGGACCAAATCGAATGATAATTCGATTATTTAAATAAATCATACGAATGCGCATGATTCGAAAATTTGAATATTCGAAAATCTGAGGTTGCGGATAATATTCGATAGTCGAATATTCGAAAATCTTCATTTTTGAATATCATTCGAATGTCCCAATATTCGAAAACTTCAACTTTTGATTATTAGGTAGCCGAACATTCGATAATCATTAATTCGTTCATTCGATGCATCGAATATTCGAGTCGATGGGCACTGAAATTCCAAAATTAGATGAGAATTGACTATTCCAAATTCGATAAGCATTGATTATTCGGAAATTGGATAGCCACAGCATATACGGAGTGTCTCAAGAGTATCTACACACTGTTTGATCGCCAATATCTCTCATGAAGTCTTTTGCCAACCTTTTAACATCCTGTAAGGATGGCTTCAACTTACAAATACAGCAGAAAGCAAATCATCCATGTTTTTCTCATTATGCTAGATATCACGATAGGAACTTCCAGCTAGTGGCGGGCCGAGAGAAGGGGGGGGGGGGGCGCCCCCATCGAGAATAGGTCGCGAAATCTTTGAAATTTACTTACACAAATTATAAAAATATGCAAGTGATTGTTTATTCTTGTGAACAATTATAATAATTTTTTAAATTTTTCAAAAATTTATTAGGCTGGAAACTAAGTTTTGCAACTGGTTTCATAACTTCACTCTCTTTGGATATGGCGCGCTCAAACTTTGGCATTATGTAAAAGGCAATGTGAGCTACAAGTGAGCACAAATTGTCTAGATTTTGAACACCAAATAGAAAAGTTTCAGGCATTTTTCGAAAACTAGTGAAATTTGAGAATTTTTGAGGTTTCAAGGTAAAATGAAGCCTTTAGCAGCCTAGACCATGCGCAGTAATCCGAATTCGTCTACAAATTATTGCTGGAGGTTGGCTGCTTTAGCCTAGTAAGAAAGAAACAAAATTTAGGGGCATGTCGAGATTTGGCGTCCTCATAAATTCGAACGAGTCGATGTACGCAAGAGCTGATGGGGACGACCGTCAATGACTAAAGAGTCCGAAGCTCAAATTTTGCCGAGACTTTACATACTAGGGTTATTTGACCTGCCAAACGCGAATATCACATTCACTTGTTGATTCAAAGCCTTTTTCCTTGTTTAGGGTGAGACCCCATATCGTACAGCTACAGTAATCCTATAAAAAGCTCTTATCACGCAATTTTACTATCGTTTTCGTGATCAGCATGTCGGATCACACCCCTATGCAAAGTTTCGGCCAAATCCGTCAAACTTTGGATTTTTCCCCTTCGTACCATGCACCTACCGTAACCCTCACTGCGACGTCAGAATTTGGTAGGACAGCAGCTGCGCTTGTAGCTTACGTAATAACCAACGCAGTGGCAAAATTTGAGTGCGCCATGTTGAGTGGGAGGGAAGTTATGAGACCAGTTGCAAAACTTAGTTTCCAGCCTAATAAATTAGCCTTGTAAAAAAAATTTTTCGGGGCGGCCCGCAAAAATTTTGAAAATTACCCCAAAAAATCTTTCGGAGTGCGAGGCTGACGCCACGTATCTTCATTTGGAAAAATGACTTCGCCCCCCCCCCTCCCTCCCCCCCCCCCCCCCCTTCTGCCCCGGACGAAAATCCTGCGACCGCCACTGATTCCAGCATATAGAGAAACTGCGAAATAAAACATCCGAAAGAATTTCCCAAAAAAATCTAGAATCTGTGTAGCAGAGTTTTTATGTACGCTAATTTTACTACGCACCTGCTTTTCAAGTGTGCAACACGTTTTTGAAAAGTGAAAAACATTTGTTACGGTTTACCTGGCGTAAGTAGTAAAAAGAAGCATTGCGGTTGAGTGTAAATTCTATAGTGAGAGTCTTTGAAAGTCTAATGTAAGACTTTCGGCCTTCTTGGTTCACTTTCTTGAGCAAATGGCTTTTGTATAAAACCCTTTATAATTTTCCCACGGTCATTTTACAACAGTGAAAACCGATCGATAAATCGCTACATATTTTAAATCTAAGTTGATGTCAGTCCAGAGATCTACATACTGTTGGGACCGCTGTTTAATATATAATCCTCTTTAAAGGCAGGTGTCAAGTTAAAAGTCGATTTTGAGATTTTGTGCTAACCCGGGCCTATTCGCCGTGATGAATCCGATAAACCACAATGGAGAGCGAGAAAACGCCAAAAAAGGCCCTAACGCAGGAGGGAAATCGCAGGTGGGCGGGGCCGTTCGCACCGCGACGTCACTCTCTCAGGCTTTAGGAGCGATATTCTCGGTCCCGATTTTATGTCATGCGTTTCGCAGTTGGGTGGTGGTGATGTTAGTGCGGTTAGCGGAAGCGAGAAGATCGCTCCTGAAGCTGGGAAAGTGACGCCACTATGTGAACAGCCCCCTCTCCCCACCTGCAATTTCCCTCCTCCTTTAGAGCCTTTTTTCGCCGTTTTCGCGCTCTCCGTTGTGGGTTATCGGATTCAGCATAGCGAATAGGGCCAGGTCAGCACATAATCTCGAAATCGATGTTTTGCTGGGACATTGTCTTTAAAGTTCGAAAAATCTTTTCGCAACCGTCATAGGAGTACGCTAAGAGGCTCTTAAACCTCTTCACGTCAGGATACTCACATGTAACAATTTATTCTTAGATGTTTTGGTGTCTCATGCGCAGTCTCACCGACATAAATTGTTTAAATAGTTTTCGAAAATCGGATGATATGCGGAAATCGACTAACATTCGAAAGCCAAATAATATTCGAAATTCGAACAACGAATGATATTCGGTATTTGAATATTATTCAATTCGAAAATTTCCATTGTCGAATAATATTCTGCAGTCGAATATTCGAAGTTTTCAATTTTCGAATAATATTCGACAGTCGAATATTCGAGATTTTTGATTTTTGAATATTCGAAAAAAAAATCGAACTTCTTTAAGTATGCAAGCTAGAATTCTTGCAGGACTTTTTTGAAGAGAGTAACGATTTTTACTCGTTCGGATGTTTGAAACTTTTTAATTCTGGCTTCAAATTCGAGGTAGATCAAAGCTGCTGCAAAAGGCAGAAACACCATTTTGTAGGCTTGTTTTGCTTAGATGGTATATAAAACCTACTCAGAAATATGCGTATAATATATTTCCATTCTTTCTGATTTGCGTGCGGGATTACGCTCCAAATCGGATAGACGTCCGAATTACGAGTAAGAATTAGAGGACTAGAGAAGGAAACTTAATGAGTGGACATTATCATGAAAATATGCATTAGTAGATGCA